TCTCTCTAGAAAATCGGCCAGCACTTCGACAAATTCAGAATGCAAATACGTTTTCTCGTCGGAGGGGGAGGGGTATTTATAAAACCCCCCACCCAACGGTCACTACACGTGGCATCCCCCCAATGGCCACACCAACGGCCACCAATGGGGGACCACCACGTCACCAACGGGCCAAACTCAATATCAACAGCCCACTGGCAAGACGGACTCTACGGCCTAAACACGCTCACCGGCTTTACAAATGCCAGCAAGCGCCCACAACGTCCCACTTGCTCGCCATGATCACAACGGCCAAACAATAAGGAGACGGCAACGGCCAGGAACGTAACGGCCACAAGATCAAAGGACCCAAGAGCCCACAAGCCATCGGCTCCTCGTAATAACCCTTGATGATAACTCTCTACAAGCGATCTGCGCACAAGGGTTCTCCCACAGGGTTACCTTGGCCAGAAAATCGCCATGAGGGTTGGATTCAGGGGGACTACGGCGAGACCGCTTCGGCCAGGGACTCAAGCAACTCCTTCACCCCTCACACTCTTCGGCCTGAAGCAGTGGGGGACTGGGGGACTACACCGGCCTCAACAAAACAAAAGAGAGTGCAAACAAGGTAACCACAGAGCATGACCACATCGGCCACGCACCACACTGCACCTCGTCGACTGAAGGCACACAACGTCATCTGCAACGGCCAACGGGCCACCAAAGGCAAGGACACTCATCATCCTCCGCCATCACTTAATCACGAGGGGCTCTTTGGCCAGAAACATGAAAGCTAATCAAAGACGGCCAAAAGGAGTGTGCAAACACCCTCATCGGCCATCCAAAGGGAAAGACGCCATCGTCCTCGAAGCAAGGACCAACCTCAACGGCCTCACCGGCCCAAACATAAACTTCAACCACCAACGTCTAGAAAGGGAAAGCGCGCTTTCAACGGCCAACATTGAAACAAGACAGTCATCATCCTCAAATACATTAAGGAAACTACGGCCTCCCCGCCCATAGCGAGGAACAGGTAACGGCCAAAGCACAGAACAGGATCACCAAAGAGGAAACAACGCCAACGCCGCATCGGCTAACGGCCAAGGGCAACAAAGCACAGGAATCTACTCTCCTTCGCTTCGTCTACGTCTCAGCTTAGAGAGTGGGGGACTCACATACTCGGAAGAGCAGAAAGCACAAGACAACATAGTGGCGCCCTCGTCGGCCAAGACGCCCCGTCGGCCGAAAAGGGGCCAACTCGGATCATGGTCCTGAGTCCAAGGAACCCGGGTGCCCTCGTCGGCCGTGCCCTCGTCGGCCACGAAGACCTCACAGAATCGGATTTTATACTTACTCATTTGTACAGCCCATTAGTGGCTTTGTATTCGGCCCAGTAGCGGTCCAGTTGTAAATGGGCCTCCCAAGTCCAAGGCTTGGGAGCCCAACCCTAATTTTCTCTATAAATACTCCCCTTGGGAGTAGTTATAGGGGTTACAAATTCATTCTATTGAAGCATATTATTGCACTTCTCTCTCTAGCTCTCACCTCTCTCTAGATATACTCTATCATGTACTATACTAGTTAAGTAGTCAAAATGATTTGCTATTCCCAATATATACAAAGTACTCCCTCTGTCCCATATATAAAGGTTCCCGCGTTTCTTTTCTGTGCGTCCTTTATAAAGTTCTCATTTCTATTTTAGGAAACGATTAACACTCTTAAATTACAACTTAATCATGACATATTAAAAATAATGCATTTATAATATATGGAGTAACAATTATTATCACCATTAACCTCATTATAATATATACCTATCAAATTTATTTTTCAAAATATATTTCAATTATCATATTTAATTATTGTCTAAATAATCGGAACATTTTGCAATGAGAACCCTTCAACGGACAGAGGTAGTATATATTAATTACTATTGCAATACTACTAATGATTATTTGGTTCCTACACATATGTATATAATATAAAATACATGGCCGTATGAATAACAAATGACATTTAATTCAATTAAGTGTGACTAAATGGGCCAAACAACTCAATTGCAAAATTGCAAAATCAATTACCGCCCAATTACTTTAGGCGGGAAATTTGTAAAATCAATTGGTCACCCAATTGCTTTATATAATATAAATAAATATGTGTTTAGTTTATTTTTACAGTTTTAGTTAGTATTTGTAATAAAAATCTTTAATGTATTTATCAAATTTATCATTAATGTATTGCAAGTAGGGATCATTCATACATTAGCCACTTCATTGATATTTGGGAAAAAAATGAGGAACCGGACTTTTTGAAAATTGATAGGTTTATCGGTACCGGCACCTAGGCGTGTCCCCAGAATTATGAACTAGTCGGTTTTGGGAACACGTCCGGTCCATCTCTACTCATAAATGAAGTAGAATTTGGATCTCATTGATGGTTAAAAAACCTCATATCATAGGGATACTCCTTCAGTGAAGATCAATCAAATTCAACAAATCTTTTCTAAAGTCAAGCCAAATGAAGATCGGAGACCCTTCAAGAAAGACCTTACATTCAAGATCATTCGAAGTTTTAAGATTCAGATATTCAAAGATAAAGACTTGATTTATAAAAATCTAAGTATTTCAATATCTTGATTTAAATTCTTTGAATTTAAGTGAAGAATCAGATAATACACATTTAAACTTTAAAGTTGTAAATTAGATTATTCTTGAATATATGATATAATAAAATTTACATTCAGATTTAAATTTTGTTTCATCGTAGTTTATAAATAATAAGGAATGAAGGCCAAAAGGTTACACAGAAATTTCTTTATGTTAATTACTCAATTGTATAAAGGCCATGTGCAATATAATTAACTTTAATTCTTTAAATAGAGTTTTTCCCCGGAATAATATAATGCTAATTAAATAAATAATTCCCAAAATACTGTCGGGTTAATAATAATTCCCAAAATACTGCCGAGATTAACCACGGTTAACTAAAGCCGCCACTTCAAATGGCGGTTCTTCTATAGCTTCACAAAAGCCGCAACTCCAAGTGGCGGCTCTCCTCCTGTATCACAAAAGTTGTCACTTGGAGTGGCGGCTTTTCACTTCAGCAACATCCACAACATTCCATTCAACATGAAAAAACATAAAAACCTGTTCACAACTTATTCAATCGGAAAAAAACACAAAAACCTGCTCTTTACAGTACAATCAACTCAAAACATCAAAAAACTTCTCTTCATAGTGAATATGGGTTGCTAAAAATTAAAACATAGTCGAAACACAACGAATCAATGGATAACATTTGATCACGATACTAGAAATATCACATAAAGTTCAAAATAAACCCAAAGTTTCATAAATTGATCAACTAGTTCTTGTTTAACACAATGATGTATAGTACAAATATCACAACTCAAAGTGATCGTCATCATAAAGCTCATGTGGTTGTGCTTGTGCCTGACGTCGGGGGCGTCTGCGCTCTGGTTACGAGGCTGAAGAACCACTCTATCACGTCGTCGTGTCTGGGAAGACCCTGGTGCGAATTAATGAGCTGCCACTCCAAGTGGCAACTTTTGTGATACAGGAGGAGAGCCGCCGCTTGGAATGGCAGCTTTTGTGAAGCTATAGAAGAACCACCACTTGAAGTGGCGACTTTAGTTAACTGTGATTAATCTCGTTAGTATTTTGGGAATTATTATTAACCTGACAGTATTTTCGGAATTATTTATTTAATTGGCATTATTCCGGGAAAAAACTCCTTTAAATAACTCGAAGTTTAACTCTGCTTAAAAGCAAATAAAAGAAAATTTCAGTCTTTAATGCGTGCAGATGTTTTGGAACCCAATTTTCATATCATGGAGGCTCCAAGGTCAACGTAGAGATTTCTAATTGATCACCTTAGTTCATCAAATTATGAGAGCCGTTACATAAATAAAAATATAAAACAATTACATGAATTGGACGATTACCAAATTGAAACTAATTTCCAAAAATGACCATTTTATAAAAAGGCAAAAATGTGATTAACAGATCACATATTTGAAAAATACGATGTCACTGTCATTTTTATGTCACTATTATATATCACTATCACATTTTTATGTCACTTTTGGATGTCACTACCGTCATTGTCCGTGTCACTGCCGCCACCGCCGGTGTCACTAACGTCATCGCTCATGTCACTGTCGTCACCACCCATGTCACTGACGTCATGAAAAATGTCACAATGATTGCCCGAAAAATTTTCCGACGACTTTTTCCGGAAAAACGTAAATTTCAACCAAACCTCTATCCCAATGCCACTACCGCATCCCCGTACACCGCCTACTGCCCCAGCCCCCGGGCCCACCCTAGTCCCATCCCCCATCCATCTCACTTCCCAGCCCAGTCCCTGCAACTCCAAACCCCGCACCACCACAGCCCCACCACTCTCCAACTGTCGAAGATTGCAGATCTGAACGACAATCCGCTGCTCAGCTGCACAATCTCACATTTTCACATGGACACTGACCGTTAATTATTTGCACGCAATTCTCCAACGCTGGCAATCTCAGTAGCAAAATTAAACTCAATCGGCTAAACCCAATCAACAAAAAACTTACTCCTAATTTGAATTTATAGATGCGTATTTAGCAAAAATCTAGTGATGATGGCTTACCGGAGACAAGAAAAGAGAAGGGGATTATATGCAGTGGCGGCGAAGAGGGACATCTACAGGACGACGGTGAGATTCGCTGTAGTAGAGCGGCAGCAGAAGGATGTGCGACAAAGGCAGCATCTGGTTAGCACTATGAGGCAGCGGAAGAACAACAATCGACTACTGTTAGGAGGAGGGTGAAGACTTCGACGAAGAAGTCTGGATTGTATGATAGAAAGAAGGTGAGGAGCTGCTCAAAGATCAGCAATTCGAATGGGCTTTTCTTTTTAGAGGTGGTCGCTGGGTCACTTTTGAGGAATTTTTAAAAGTGATCATATTTTTGTCCAACAAAAGCTGAGAAGTAATATTGGTGCCATTCTTTCTAAAAACTTTAAATGCCATCTCTCATAATGCATTTCTTAATAAAAGCATTTCTCAACTCCAACAAAGAGTTAACATAGAAAATGAATAGATACTCAGTAATACTGATGATATACAGAAGAGTAATTGGAGAAAAATTATGAGCACCGAAAATGGAAAAGAATTGCCACAGGTCAATATCAGGGTTCATCCATGAAAGACTGGAATCTTGAGCCCAGTCCTGCAGAGAAACATTCATATGAATTCTGTTGTCCTTGTATATAATGATAACATCAGAGAGATACATGTGCTTGTGGAACTTCGTTTATGACATATATTGCATTCCTGGAGCAGGAACCTGGGACCTCAATAGTGGCTGGAGAGCCTTCACAACAATGCTCATATTGGGACGAAATTCTGCTTCGTATTGTACACACAACGCTGCAACTGCCGCCATCTACACCCCCAAACATTTGACCACCACAAAACCAAAATAAAATAAAATAAAGGATCAGATCTAATGGAAAATTATGTACTCTAGTACTAGTAGTTCATGCAAACAGGTCAGGGCTTGTACTGTGTGTGGGCAACCAGGGCATGGAAAAGTCAATGAAAAAAGGCCCAATTATGTATCTTCCCAATGTCTCATTACTTGTAAGAACCGAACTTGGCGATCTTTTCTTAGTTAGACGTTCCAATTCTTTTTCATCATCTTGTTGAAAAACTATTACCCTGCTAACTTTGAAATATGAAACTTTTTATTAAGACAGGCCTGTTGTGAGATCTGGTCCATATGCCAAAAATAAACAGAACAAGCCTTGCAGAGAAGCTGTGGTGCGCTATGGGAAGGAGGAGAAACCTTAGCTACAGCTTTGGGAGGGTATTCTCCTTTGAGCCTCGGATCTACACACTGATGCACTTTATCTTCACTCAATCTTGGGGTGGCCTAAAGGTAAAAGTTCAGATATATAAATAGTTAGCAGCAAAAGTCTTCAATCTCAAGTTTCAACATAACAATAGGATATTAGAATGAATAATCACCCATGTGACAAGGCTTTGCTGTCCACGAGGCATAGTATGATCTACAGGTTTTCTTCCTGTCAAAAGTTCAAGCAGCACAACTCCGAAGCTATATACATCACTCTTCTGTGTTAGATGTCCCGTCATTGCATATCTGCACACACAAAAAAATTAACTATTATAAGTTAGTTGATCCGTGAAGTAAAAAAGAATTATAGTTCTAATGTGATGATTAAATTCATCATGAACTGACAAACATACCCTACTGATATCAAGATATTTTGGTAACATGAAAAGGTGGAATGAATATGAGAGGTTAACTATTGCCATTTTACTATGTTTGACTTTACTGGATTGCCAAATGGCTGCTTCATTTGTGAACAAAATGCATTCTGTTATGGACTATTGTTTGGGAATGCAGGGAGTAAATGCTACTTAGGAATTAGGATCCCTACGTGGACAGGGCAATAAAAGAACCAAGAGAAAGAAAGTAGTTGCAGAAAGAGAAGGATAAGCGACACTTACTCTGGCGCATGATAACCAAACGTTCCGAGAACTCTAGTGGAATGCAGCCTTGCAGCCATATCGGGAGGTTGATTAGACAGGTTAAAATCTGCAATCTTTGCCTTGAAGTTATCAAAGAGAAGGATGTTGCTCGATCTGATGTCCCTATGTATTACAGACGGTTGGACCTTCTCATGCAACCATTCGAGTCCCCTTGCGGCATCAACAGCAATCCTTACTCGTTGAATCCAATCAAGTGGCGGGCCAGGCTGTGACCCTTCCACCCCCTTCCTTCCTGTGTTTTAAGTGTCCCACATCAAATTTATGAGACCACACCAAATTCTGTGAGGTAGGAAACCTTACATCCTAAAGATTCTTTTGGGTGAGTTAGGTCCAGTATAGTAGGGTATTAAACTGGTTTGTTGGGGTTCTCGTTTGGCACCCATGGTTTAGGCCTTTAGGGCCATTTAGGCCCACTTCTTGAGCATCCTTTTGGGCGAGTTAGACCCACTTCTTGAGGATCCTTTTGGGCGAGTTAGGCCCAGTTTAATAACATGTAACCCCCAAAGCAATCACCTTTTTTATCATGTTTCTGTTTATTAATTTATTTAACTATTTATTTAATTCGTTTTTCATAAATGTAACATGACGTTTTTTGGGGGGTTCATACCATGCAAAACATCGTGTAAAGATCCCATGGTTGCGAATTCATATACCAACACGCGGTGATTTCGTTCCACGCAGTAACCAAGCAGCTCAACAAGATTTTCATGTTTGATCCTTGAAACCATAGAAACCTTAAAACGAACAATAATGGATTAAATTGAGTGTTTACACAATTGATAAGTTAAATAATTCAATTAGGTCATCATGCACAATGATCAAGTCACACTAAAAAAACTCAATCCAATAGATTAGCAAGAACTCCATGCTTTATAACCCATATCTCTATCTTATATGCTTGATGTGGGACTCTTATAAGTACTTCCTCTGTCCAAAAATGTATATACAGTTGGTATTAACACAAGTTTTAAAAAACTACAGAAAATAATAGTTTTCCAATTCCAACCTTCTAAAAGGGGAAAAAGGCAATATGGGTCCACAAAAGGTAAAAAGTGGAATGATGATTGAAAGGACAAAGTGGAAAGTAAAAAGTTACTGAAGTTCAAATTAGAAAGAGTGGACACAAAATCAGACGAAGGGTATATCAAAAATATGCGGATGAGGGAACAATCTTAAGAAAATGTAAGCAAGAGTATGAGAATACCTGGGTTAAGAACTCAGCATCTGGCCCAGGAACGGATGACTCATCTAATTTCTTCACAGCCACGGCTTTTCCGTTATTTGAAGTTGCATAGTACACTCTTCCATAAGACCCTTCACCAATTAAAGCTTTTGATCCAAAATTGCCAGTTCTTTCCTTTAGCTCGTCTAGAGGATAAGCGGGCACCTCAATAGGTGGGATTGCCCTCTTCGCTTGAGCTTTGACAGGACTTGGAACTTTTGAACCTTTTTGACGTCCTAACATATGATATAAGAGACGGTGCAAAAGTTAATAGGTATGTCCGCGAATGAATATGTACGATTAATAAACCCATCAAAATTTTCAAAAAGTAAAAAAAGTACAACTCTTTTTAAGGCATGCATCCTAAAACACATAACCAAGTAATATATAAATTATGAATTTGTCAATATTCAAATACTATAAAATCTAGCCTTCTAGGTTTAAAATGCACAGTATTATGGAGGACGATAACATGGTTTGTAGCAACTTTATATGCATTATTTTCTTCTAGGTATCATGTCCTCTGTAACTTTCTGCGGGGAAAACTTTCAGGGATCAACTAAAACTTTCTGAGTTTCACACAACTACTAAACCTGATATGGGTCTGTAGCCATAATCTGAAAGTAAGAAATCAATCTCACCCTACATTATAGAAGGTCCTTCAGGAATATTGCAGTATTATCAGTGGGAAATTCTTTGCAATGAATGATCATAGAACTCTTGACCTGTCGGATTTGGTATATGGGCCTTTACTGCTTTTAAGGGCACTTTATGTTCTCATAATCCTTAAAAAAATTCCCTGGACAACTGTGATTTTATTAAAAAGATATATACAAGGTTTCCAGAGAACCACAATCGAATAGTATACCATAACTCAAAAACTATGAAGTATCTTCTAACAAGGACATGATTAACAAAAAAACTTGAATCTATCAAAGAGAAATACCATCAGAATGCTTAGTGGGGCTTTTAAGGAGCTCAGTTTCATGGCAAGGGTAAGATTCATCCACTTGTGATACGCAACACAACCATCTCCTCATCCTTGCTTTCTTTTTTGTATAAATATCTTCGTCGTCTACACTTGGCTTTTCCAATGGCATAAAGTAACCAGGAGGTGGAGCATTTGACTGTGCAACAAGTTAATACATATGAAGACACTTATTCCCAGAATACCAGAAGTAATTGAAAGGAGTTACTTCCATACAAAATAAAATCCAGGCGGGATGATTAATCTGAAAATAATGAAATTTTGTCACAATAACTTTCGGATTCAAAGTAAACAGGATATGGCATTTGATTCCACAAAACGTAACTCCACATTTCAAGTTGATATAATTCATTATTGGATCCATATGCACATCAACCAAACCCTACTAAAAAATTGAATCAAATTGATTAGTTGGTCTAATCTAATGCCTTATAACCTCATTTACCTCTATTTCATCTCTGATTGTGGACCCTTAACAACTACTCGTACTACTTATTTATTTGTGGCCAATAAAGTTGTTCTACACAGTGGTATAAAAACAATAACAACACCAACAATGAGAAAAACACAATTTTACCAAAAAATAGTAGTTCAAATGAATTAGTTTCCATACAATACAATGTAAAAATCCTGTAGAATGATTAATCTTAAAATAATGAAATACTTGCATGATCATAACTTTCAAATTCAAGGTAAATAAATGGCATCCGGTCATCCTGACCACTCCACAATCAGACAAATTGCATGTTTGTGATGGAAAGGAAGATAAAATTTCAGAATTGGGATTTCGATAAACTAATTCATCTCTCTTTAACGTTTCAGTATGGCATTGCTAACCACGTTTGTCTGTTATAGCAAATACTGTTCTTCCAAACAACGATATAAATCAATACCAATAAAAATAAGAAATGCAAAAGAGGAGATAAGCATACCACAAGCCCTCGCCGATGAAATGTGTGATCCATCGACGAAAATATCAAGAGAACAGACAATCACGATTATTAATTCTTGAAAGGGAGAAAGAAATGTTTAAATAATCCCCAACCTCTTGAGGTGGGAGAGAGATAGAGAAAGGGGATTGAAAGGGTCAATCCGAGATTGAATGGGAATGCTATCAAATGCTCCAAAGAACATAATGGAATATAAGAAGCCTTAATAGAGAATTGACAGAAAGAATGGGAACGAAGACAGGAAATTGAAGAACTACAGTGGACATGAATAAGAGGCCAGCCGGGATTCAAGCTCCGATTTTTCATATTCATTTCTCCCTCTCTTACTATAGTAAAAAACGAGGGACGACGGCCAGGTTGCTGTGGTAGGACTTGAAGCGCATTTATTGTTAGAGAAGACGGCCCAGCCCTCCCATTCAAAATTAAGGATCGGAACTTTTTTCAGACCATTTGAAAAATGTTAAAAAATGTTAAGAAATGAACTTCTTTCATATTCTTTCATATTTGTTCATATGAAAACATTGTTTAAACTTCTATTTCTATGCATTTCAGTATCTTCAAAAAATTACACTCAACATATTTTTTTACATATCAATCTAGTAAAACATTAATTAAATTAATATAAGTAAAGTTTTCCTTTTAATTTTTCCCTAAATAATTATGAAATAAAAATTACACATTTCGATGTAAAAAAATAAATTTCATTATTTTTTTTACGTTTTTCGGTTAACAAAAAATGAACTTAGTTCAAGTAAAATTTGGTTATGGAATATTGAGTTATTTGTGCAGGCTCTACGCCTTTACGAATTAAAAATTTGTGTTTCGTGTTTTTTCGTGCTCAAGAAAACTTCAATTGTTAAAATTTCAATTTTTTTTATTTTATATATTACATATTGGTATCATATGAAAGATCATACAAAATCATGAATATTGATATATTTTTTGAGAAATTTGAAGAACAAACAAAAAAGTTAACAAAGTTTAAAAAAAAATGGGATTATAATGATGCAAGGATGATGTTATCCCGCGCGACTCTCTTCCCTCCTTTTCTTTTTCATTTTCTCACTCCTATCAACACACCCTCTATCCATTTTCTCATTTTTAATACCCCATTTAGACTACGACTACATGGAATTAGGAGTCCAAAAATTCTATCTTTAGTATTTTGGACTCCCAATACTACACCACTCCAAATAGTCTTCATCCATCTTCTTTTGTACCATACCTTTTCATCAATTCAGGTTGAATCCACAACCCCAAGAGTCCTCTACGCCCTGAACTGACAAGACTTTTGAGAGAATGTAAGTCATAGTGACTCAATCACCCCAGTGGCGGTAGATCTTCTACCCGTGCGCACCATAAATTCAACCCAGCACGCAAGAGTTGTAACCTCCACACAGCCGTTGAGGAATTCAATTCTTGATCATTCTTCCAACTTCCTCACCACTCAACCAACTGAGCTACCTTTCTCATCAATCAATTAAATCTGAATCAATATAGAAATTCTGATGCATATTTTTTCAGTAGACTAAATTTAATTTAACGTGATTTATTTAAATCTCATACCTAAAACTTTATGGTATGATATCATACTCAAACTTTTAGAACTAATTTATCTTTTGAGGATATCAAACTTCTGGCCAATATTTCAACAAAACACTTAACTTTTGATTTCATCTGCTGAATTGTGTAATAATCAAAATAAGTAAGGTTGAATTAATTATGATGATCATTTTAGTTATTTTTCATATAATTCTTTTTTTCTTACTAACAAATACTACCTCCTTCTCGGAATAATTGTTTTGTTTTCCTTTTGAGATGTTTCAAAATAATTGTCTTGTTTCTTTTTTAGATAATATTATGTGGCTCATATGAATTCATCTTTTGTTAATCAACTCTCACCCAAAACATTTATTTTTGACCTTTTTATTCCAATATTACTAAAATGAATGAAAAAGACAAAAATGTGACTTGTTTGATTTTTTTCCAAAAAAGTGACTAAAGTCATTTATTCCTTATATTTATTCATAAATTTATTAATTTAATAATATTACTTTGCAGCCACAAGCAGCTCTGCGGCCGCCGACCCCAGACCGTCGTTGTCACCGGCACCGTCGTCACCTTCACTGCCGCCGCCATCGCCGCCGCCACCGCCGTCAGTCACTATCTCAATCACTCCGGTCACAGTGACTCCGGTCACATTGACTCCGGCCTCAGTGTCTCCGACCTCAGTGACTTCCGGCCACCGTGACTTCCGGTCACAGTGACTTCCGGCCACCGTGACTACCCGGCTCACCGACCCCAGTGACTGCCCATCCACCGGCCACAGTGGACGCCTGAAAGTTTTCTGTCGTCCCCCACCAGCAACAACACTCTACCCATCCTGCTACCTAGCCAAAACCGCCACCGCCACCCTGTCCATCCCCCAGCCATCGCAGCTGCAACGTCCACTACCGCTGCAACGTCCACTGATGACACCCCTTCCCCGTCCACAACTCCCACTTGTATCCAACCCCCTCCCCTCACCACACCACAGTTACCGCCACTGCCCAGCCCACACCATCGTGACCCACCATCGTCGTGGCGTCGCTGCATCACCCCAACCCCCTCCCCGATCTTCCCAGCCCCATCCCTGACCTTCCAAGCCCCCTCCCTAACCTTCCCAGCCCCCTCCGCCGCGACCCCAACCAGGCCGTCATCCAACGCCGCCCACAAGTACCTCAAACCTAACTGTAGCCACTGTCACCCACCACCCCAGATTCAACCGTAGAAAGAAGAAGAAGGGGACCGCGACAGAGATGGAAAACGACGAGAGGCGAGAAGGAACTTCGTGACCTTTGTCAGATCTGGAAACGGTGGAGAGTGGAGAAGCTTCGTCAGATCTAGGAGTGGAAAATGGCGATCTTCGGCAAGGTTTCGTCTGATATGGGAGCGGAAGGCTTCGATTAAGTGCAGAGAGAAGTGTGAGGGCGGATGATTCGACGGAGCGGAAGTCTTCGACGGTCGATTTGTGCAGTGCGAAAGTCTTCGACGGAGCGCAGAGAGAAATAGAGGCCAGACCAGATGACGGAGGAACGAAGCGACGGAGCTGGGGAGCGGCAGAGACGAAGATGAAGGTGTTGCCATGGGATGTCGTTTGGAATCGCCGGATAGCGTTGAAGAAGGCCCTCGATGCGGGGAAGAAGGTCTTGATGAAGGTCTAGTGCGGGAAAGAAAATAACGGGAGAGTTACTTTTTGGGGAAAATCAAAATAGTCATATTTTTGGAATTGGAAACTTGAGTAGTATCATTGACGCCATTTTTTCTTTATTTTTTCAACGACTTTCTCAAAACTTATGCAAAAACAATCAAGACAATTATCTTGGTGCCGGAAGTAATGTTTTAAGAAAAATGTGTGGTGTACACAAAATGTGTACACTTGTTTGTCCTCCGCATACAAGTTGTATGTCCACATACAATTCTACACTGTGCTGTACATGCTAAAAATTTTGATATGAGTAAACTAGATTTAATGAATAAGATTCTCAAAAAAATTCATCAAAAAATTCCACCGTAAACTACCCCAAATAGCGACGGCCGAACATAGTCTCCTATATAAGGGCTTATTTGATCTTTTTTAGTTAGTACGTGGCTTATTGGTCTCTTTTCCCTTTAAATGTCATTTTTTCAATCCGGCTTCTCCAACCAATATTTCAAGTAGGGGTGGGCATAAAACCCGAATCGAACCGGTACCGAACCGTCCCGTAATGGTACCGAACCGAATAATGGGTATTTAAACAATTCTATAGATTTTTATCCCGTACCGAAATCGTACCTTTAGAAACGGGTACGGGACCGGTCTTAGATTTTATGAACCGAAAAATACCGGACCGAACCGTTCAAAAATAATGCATTTGAATTTTTTATAATTTTTCTATACCAATAGATCTCTTTATAGACCAACAATTTCATAGCCCAAGTATGTATTCATGTGTCCCTAGGATATCTAAATGTGTGTGTTTATATATATCGTTATATTTTCTTTTTAGATAATTTATGTTATATTTTGGTATGTATTGAAAGAAAGAATATTAAAATTTTAGAAATCATTAATGACTATTCATTTCTAGTAATGTAGTGTACATGACTTTTTGTTTTATCATATTTGTGCAATTTTTACAACTTAACTAATATGGTTTAAATCTTAGCTCTCAAGGTTCAACTATAAATTAAATTAGAACTACGGAGTAATATTTAACCTTGAACGAAGAAGAAAAATGTTGAAGATTTCTATTATACACAACAATTTGATGATATTCTTTTTTATATTTTCACATGAACTTAGTAAATTAAAGTTGATATTTATATTGTGCGTGTCATCGTTTTGCTATATTGTTTCTTAGTTGTGTTGCACTAGTTGTGTATTTGTGAATTTTAGTACTACGTATGCAATTTTGTGTATTTATATCAACATTTCATGTGATTTTGTTGGTGTGATGATATCTACTAATTGTAACATTTATTCAAATTTTTTGGCATGTGTTTGACATTGTACCGTACCGTTTTGTACCATTCCGAAACAACATGGTACCGAAAGGTTCTATGCTTGAAACTGGACCATACCGGACCGTTAAAAAGATATTCCCTCCGTCCCGCTAGAAGGTTCCCGTGAACGGTTTACGATGCTTGACTGACGATAAAGAAACTTAATCCCTGCTCACATTCTGATTAGTTTTAGTAAATAAAATTAATATATTCAGAAACTACATTAAAACTACTAAAAGGCTGATAAAAAAATTTAAATTGACCATGCAAATAGTGGAATGAAACCTTCTACTACAATTTTACCAATTCAGTGGACCTTTCAAGACCGGGCCCGCCCCTAATTTCAAGGTTGATTTCGATCTCTCTTGTAGACTACACTGTGCTGTACGTGCTCCTTTTCCTTTAAAATCAAAACACTATTTGATCCCAATTGCACACTTCGCCCGTTCACCGGCCAATCGATCGTCTATCGCATCTGTCTGACTGGGAAGCAAAGCCCTAATTCTTCCCGGCGTTGAGTTCTCCAGGCTTTGTAAATTGTAAGTATTTCTATGATGAATGAGACTGCTCAAGATTCAAGAACGAACCCATTAGTTATTCTTCAGAGATTCGTAGTCTCGTAGATATCGACCTCCTGCTTTCCATTCAGGTATTCATCGTCGCCTCAAATTGCAGCCTTTCACTCTCATCTCCGTGTACGAATAAGGTGTATATGTTCTGCTCAGTATTTGAAAGTACCTATCAGTTTCGTCTTTGATTTGGATGTTCGAAGGTTCATGTGACGGGAATGAGGATTGTGAACTTTGTGCAGAACATTTGGCCGTTGGCAATATTCAAGAACGACGACTTGAAGGTTTCCGAGAGATTAGTTAGGAAATTATCCATACCGGATTGCACGAAACAGTTTGTTTACGCGATTCCCGATCCTAACTTGGAGGCTGTTATATACGTGGTTTGTGTTCAGAACCTCTCTGAGCAGTCGGCTATGGATGCTGAATGTGTGATTAGGGAAATCAGGCCAGATGCTGTGGTGGTCCAAGTGGATAACATGACCAGCGAGATTCTCAGGGAGGGAAATGAGAGTAAAAACGATAAAGGTTTTCTGAAGTTCATGCCTTTTGGTGCAAATGACAATGTCCGTGAGGAGATCTCGGTTCCAACCTCTGCAATTGAGGTGCTGAAGAGGTGCTTTATGCATAAGATTAACAAGGAGAAGTATGAGAGCATGGCAGGAAATTTGATTTTAAAAGAGATTTTTGGTGTAGGGTTTGATGGATCTGTGTTGGCAGCAAAGAGAGCAGCAGAAGAAGTTGGTTCAGCTCTTTTATTGCTTGATTCCCCTTTTGTAAAAAGCACAGATGATAATGAATGTTCTACTGCAGTGGGAGACAAAGGGCTGGGAGTTCTCGGTATAAGGACCCACAATGGTTTGGATCTTCAAAGGACATTCCCAATCTCTCACACAGATAACATTAAAACTCAAATGGTTAAACTATCATCATATTTGCTTAATTCATCCCCTGTTTCAAGAAACCAGTCCGAGAGTATCACTCCACAATTACAATATCAAATCCCTCAATTTGCACAGTCTGTTTACCCTTTACTTGTCGATTTGCATGATAGTTTCATTGATATCCCTTCAATAACGAGAGCATTAGCTTATGCTCAGAAAATGTTGTACGATGTGAGTAAAGGAGAAATGGTGAAAGCAGAAGTCCTCTCTGAAGTTTATACATTCAGAACCGCAGTCGAGTCATTGAGAATTACTTTAAATAAGGCCAGCCGGGCACCTGTTGCTATGACCGGAAATGGAAGCCACGAGTTTCCTGACCTGTCTATTGAGGACAAATCACAAGCACTTCTCGCACAGGCTCTCAGAAGCCAAACTAAGAAGTTCAAATCAATTGTTGCAGTAGTGGATGCCCGCGGGTTAGTCGGGCTGAGGAAACACTGGAACACCCGTCTTCCGTTGGAAATCAATGACATGGTTGACCAGCTTGTGACTGACTGGGAGAGTGGCGACACATCTAAGATTGACAGAAAGAGCTTACTGGCAGGAAAACCGGTGGTGGCAGTTGGGGCAGGGGCAACAGCAGTTTTAGGAGCTTCATCCTTATCCAAAGTGATTCCTTTATCAACTGTTATGAAGGCTGTCACCTTTAAATTTCCCACCACGGTTAAACTAATGATGACTCAACCCCAAAAGCTTGCAGCTATTATGCTTGGGAAGTCAAAGGTTGTGGCCCCAGGGATGGGCTTAAAATCGTCTGTTTTCAGGGCAGCTGCATCAACTGAGAAAATCCGTGTCGTGGCTCATAGCTTCATAACCTCGGCCCAGAAAACCAGTTTCTCTGCCATGAGGAGTGCTTTCTATGAGATTATGAGGAAACGGCATGCACGTCCAATTGGTGTTTTGCCATGGGCCACATTTGGGTGCAGTGTCGCCACCTGCACAGGATTAATTGCTTATGGGGATGGGATTGAGTGTGCTGCTGAGTCACTACCATCTGCTCCTTCGATTGCTAGTTTGGGTCGTGGGATTCAGAGTTTGCATGAGGCGTCTAAAGCTGTGAGGCAATCTACAGTAGTCGTCCCTTCTTATGTAAAGTTGAGAACGGAAAAAAAGTCTCATTTCCTTTCATTTGTGCAAGGTGGCTCAGAGTAAATCTGGGGCTTTTATTAGTGTTGTCTGTATATATAATTGGGTATAGAGAGGCTTGCTATTGTAAGCAGTTTCAACTAATGAAGGCGCTGCGTCAAAGTTTCAAGGAGATATGCACTTACTGATAGCTTACATTTTTTCACTGGAAAACCGGAAGGATTTTCTTCTTCTTTTCATGCAGAGATAAAAGTACATACACGTAGACATGTTGTGGCCTGCACAATGTATTGAGGAACTCCATATATTTCAGATACTTGCTGACCCCAAACTCATGTGTCGATTCATGTTAGCGACCCCAAACTATCTCGGGACTAAGACTTGGATGTTGTAATTGTTGTTGCTGACTGGAAAAGAAAAACTGTAGAAGTTGAGGGATGTCTTTTGTATTTTACTTGTAACTTTTTTCTTTAATTTAACCTGTCTGCATTGGGTAAGCGACCACCTGTGTGTTCATACTTCATATAGCTCGGCCTTGATGCTCCTCTAATTCAATATAGATCACATTCATCTTGATGAATTGATGGGTATACTTGGGTGAGCACTTGTGCTTAAAGAAGGCAGACATTAACTCACTATGGCAATGTTGATGCCAACACATGTTGTTCGCACACTAAGTATTCAATTCAAAAGAAATTACTCTACCCATCTCAACGTGTCTAAGGATGTTTTTATTTGCACTGTTTTCAAACTGAGACCAGACTTAAACATACAAACCTGATCTGACTTCTCTAGTTATACAGTACATAGAGATAAGACATTTAGCAGACCAGATTTAAACCGACTAGACAAAACCAACAAATTTCAGTCCAAGTAAAAACATCCTAAGATAAGAGTTTAACCTTTACAAACTCCGGATTTAAAGCTCATAACTTTATAAGTTGCTTCTCTAACCATATAAGGACCTTGTTAATACTCATATAGCCTTTGCGCAAAAAAACTACTCTGTAGAATTTAGGACAGAAATGTAATAGTGTAATACTAAGATAACTCTGTAGTCTTTAGATATATAGTCCTCTCCCTTAGTTCAAGCTCATGTAAATATCTTTTACATAACAGTACATTCATATTTCATACTCCGCACTATATTTTATATTTTCTGTTGTGCTATATAAGACTATATTTTATTTAAGGTTAAATAATTTAAATACCCTACATTTTGAAGAGGTGTGAAGTAAATAGTCGAAAGTCACATACCGACATAAGTAGTATGTAATATATATAACCCGAATTCTATATAAAAAGTAATGTTAGTACCATGAAATTTACGCTATAAAGTCATCTTAACACCACAAAATTACATTTGGTAATGAAAAGATAGTTATGATGCTAGGTAGGAATTGGCCCGGATCGAGTACTTTTTTTTGCTTTTCTAATTACTTCCTACAATACCACACTCAAACCCCTCCAAAACACCCGGCCCAACCCATTTACTTCCCAAAGAATTTGAGAAAAAAAAATTGTTCTGGACCTGACCCAGCCGGTACCAAAGAACCCCATACCCGTGACCTGGCCCAAAACCCTCCGGTTCAGGCCCTAGGCCCGGGCTTGGTCCCAGGCAGCCGGGTCGACCCGGTCCCGCACAATGGCGGGCCGGTCTGGTCTGGTTGCGGGCCAGTTGACCCTGTCCTAGTCCACTCGATTTTAGATTATTGCATTTGGCTGACAATAATCCTGGAAGATAATTGAGCGTAAAAGTGGGAACTTTAAACGAGGAAGTGAAGTAGGAATGGGGAGCAACCTAAATGCGGTGTTCTACGCCAAGAAGTACCATCCAATTCAATCCGGCAGCATCGACGGCACCGATATTCTTCCCCACGACAACGCTGTCTACCGGGCACTCCTCTGCTCCAATGCCGGCCTCTGTAACGTCTCTCTCCCTACTCTTCACCTCCTTTTTCGATAATAATTTCCCAATATTCGCTCACTTTCTGCACTTTTTATTTACTTCTATGTAGATGATCCTTTTGGAGACGCCAAAGCCGTGGGTGATCCTTACTGCACTCTCTTCGTGGCTCATCTCTCTCGCGTCACTACCGAACACACTCTTCGCGAGGTTCCCCCCGTTTCTTCTTCTACTGTGTTTTGGGAAATTGGACTTTTCTCGTAATTTTTTTTTGTTTTATTTATTTGATCAGCTTGTAAGTTGTAATTTTATATCAGTGTAGATAATAGTGGCGACTCTGTTTGAATTTCCAGGTGATGAGCAAATATGGAAGAGTGAAGAACTTGAGAATAGTTCGCCACATTGGTAAAATTTTGCTTTGTGCTGTGCGAAGTCCTTTTTGTTTTGTCCTTGTTTCCTCAATGAGTCAATGATTTTAACCTAGTAAGCATTCTTTGACGAACCAGACACACATGACTGTTGAGTATATTATTGCTAAAGAAAATGACTATTCACGATTTTTTGGTAATTTAATTCAACTCGAGTTCATGTCCTGGCGCATGTGGAAAATGATGTATTCCTCTGAAGATGATTAGGGATTTTATGTGAAATATTTCCTAATTGTTTTTTGCCCATGTTTTGGTGCTTTATGTAATTTCTTGTACCCAACCACCTGTCCTTCCCTTAGAATGTAGAAAGTTGGTGAAGTAGTTAAACCACGCGATTTTACTCTGCTCTCATAGTTATATGTGTTCTAGCACTGATCCAATTTAATTAAACCACACATACTATGGTTGGAAGCGAGACGGTCACAACAGGAGGTCCGTGGGACTTGATGCCTCTATTGGGGTATGCAATCGGGTTGATTGGGGTAAAGGGGACGAGTAAATATCCAGCTAAAACCTGTTGGTGCAGTTTTATCTAACTCTTGTTACTACCTCTGCCCCTGAACTATCTACATTCGATTATCCACTGTTTTTAATGAAGTAGAAATCGAGTGATTGATTTTTTTAAGAAGAAAGAGAAAGAATACCAATCACATAATCATTTTCCCAAAAGGAATGCAGAGATAATTTGGGGACAAACAAAAAAGAGAGTAAATATATGAAGATAAAAAGGGGACATTAGGATTATTAATTCTTTGGGGCATGTAGACTACATTACTGAGGTATAACTATAAACATAATGGATGGATGACTGGTATGTCTATGCATTTTGCTAAAAAAGCTTCACACGTGATGCTATGCTAACCAACTTAAATTTTGCTAAATTTGCAGTAACAGGTGCTTCATGTGGTTATGCCTTTGTTGAATTTGAAACAGAAAGAGAGATGCGGCGGGCATACAGGGTAATGTTTTTCAATTGAATGAGTGGTGGCAAGTATCAACTTCATTGCATGTAATGCACAGAGATTGACTATTGGTGTCGTACTCCCCGATCACATCTTTTCTCTCAGGATCGTTTTGTTTAAATCCTAACGTGAGAGTTTACAAATATATTCCTTTTTGTGTTAGTGCATGATGCTTCTAATTGTCTTGTTTTACTAGTGGCGGGCACGATTCAGGATGGGTTGAGGTTTTGGATGTCCTGGTCCTGATCTTAGTTAATAATAACGGTCCGGGACAAGCCTTTGTCTTAAACTTGTCCCATTAAAATAGGGACCTGGATGATTTGGGACGTTATGGAACACCTCGACAAACAATAAACAGTTAAACAAAAAAGTTCTCATTTCTTAGTAAAAGTATATAAACATTTCTAATTTTCTATAGTATATGTGCACAAAACAATCAACATTTCTAAGGTCAATAAAAGGTATAAGCAGCTATTTATAAACAAACCAAAAGCTACAAAGTATTAAATTTTCACTAATTTAAAAAAACACAAAATTTCAAAATTTAAAGATAAAGTGATCTAGTTGTGAGAAACTCTGATACAAATACATAGAACGAGAGACAAATCTAGATTAGTAGATAATTCATAATTATGCTAGGCATTATATCTTCAATTGAGAATATAGGCTTGCGCTACAAATTAGGCATATGCTAAAAAACTCTTTAATCATGACAACTTTCTGCTGTCCCAATCACGATCCATTTTAAATCTGCAGTACGGGACAAAAACATTGCATCCTAAACGGAACGGGACAATAACGGAACGGTTCCGAGATATTTCGGAATGGTACAATGAGATAGGGTTTCTTCCCACCGGGATTTTTACCTCTCTGCAATTTTAAGTAAACTGTATGGGGTTCAACCAGAAGTGTGTTCATTTTGATCTTTTTAACGGTTCTAAGTGATGGATTGATATTGGCTCCTTGGAGAAATATTTCTTTTTGATAATCATGATGAGGGGGTGTTTAGCTCAATTATCTCATATGACTTTAGACTATAGAAGTACCTATCACCTTGTGAAGGGGATGCCAGGATACCAAATGTATTTGATTAAAATTATTGCATTGCTATTCTAACTTGTTTGTTAAGGTGTAATGTGATAAATACTCTTTTATACACACACATAAACTAAACTTTTATCCCTAGTAAACATTATTTTGTTATATTTTGCTTAGCTACTCTTTCACATTACATATGAATTTTACAATTTATACTAATAAAAAAATTGAATTTTCCATTATTTGCAATGGAGCCAAAGATTCACTATTTTTGTCTTGAGAATATGATGGAATAAAGCAAAATGGCTCACTAAACTGTCTGCGCTTCTTTATTGTGAAGTAACAGTCAATCCATGTATTTTTCGACGCAATTTTCACTATGGGTCATTCGAAAACAGTCTCTCTGTGCTTTAGTACAGGGGTAAGACTGCGTACATCCGACCACCCCTTACCCCACCGTATGTGGGAGCCTTTGCGGCACTGGGGTAATGATGATGATGATGACGACTAATAAAAAAATTGAAATTCATTTATCAAAGAAATTATTATTAGTAAGGTTTTACAAGTATTAATACATCCACAATCAAGTTAGTATTCAGAAACTTTGACCTAATGGTATTAGGGTTTAATTGGAATTCAAAAGAAATGTTAGAATGCTAGGGTAATATGATTTAGACTCATTTATTCATATTTCCTACGTCTTGGTAATAATATATTATGCATGTTATGAACAACCTAAATCAAACATGGTTATTGTAATATTATGTAAAATTGTAAACTTACTCAAGGGTTATAGAATATAACTTGAACCAATTATCCCCTTTCTATAGGAATTCGCGCTAATTTTAACATCTGTTTTCTTATAAAATTATAAATAATTGCCCTTCTAAAGTCTGACCATCCATGCTCTTTTCTTGCGAAGATCATTGGTGTTGTAGATGTATAGTTAAATCCTCTTCCCCCGGGAACATACATTTAATATCCGGACTTCACTGACGGTTGACAATATAACTAAAGGAATGAATGATTAGTGAAAATTTTCATCATCTTTGATTTGTGCTTTTATTCAGGATGCTCACCATAAGATTGTTGATGATTCTGAAATTATAGTTGATTACAACAGGCAGCGGTTGATGCCAGGTTGGATTCCAAGAAGGTTAGGTTAGTCTAATTTCCATTTCACTTGGAGCCTTAATTTGAGGTGAGCCACTTCTTGAGGTGAGCTTGTTTAATAGGAGGAGGACTCGGTGGCAAAAAAGAATCTGGACAACTTCGATTTGGAGGCCGTGAGAGACCATTTCGTGCCCCATTGTATGTCTTGATTATTTCATTGTTGTCCAAGGATTCATGCATTTTATAATGATAAACTTGATATAATACATCTTAGCACCCTTTAAATCTTATAGCCAGCTCATTAACGGTATTGGAATCAATGATCATTATGGTAAAGTTTTACATTACGTGCTTTAGAAATAGGCGAATCTTAGTTACTCATAAACCTCATGCAGTGAAAAGTAGCTAAGTTAATTTAATAACTTAATTGCAGGGGTCAAGGGGTAAATAGTCTAATTTTGTGCATATATGTGATAATTGCTTATTAGTAGGAGTATGTATTACTCCATCTGTCTCTAAATGTTTATCCTCCTCTCGTTTTTTGTCTGCCATCAAACGTTCTTTTTACGTTCATATTTTTTTCAATAATGACGTTCCCCAAATTCTTTTGGGAATAAGGCGGTAAGGCCTGGATGTTGTTATTGTAACTACTTTCCCCTTTACTTTTAGATATCTGTACTTTGGTCAATGGAGTGATTATAGAGTAACAACTAACAAGTATATCTTCATAATTTTCTTCTATTAGATGTAATGCAAGCATTGATATTTTCAGTGTTGTAGGAATCATCACAACCATTTTTTTGTTTCTTTCGACTGAGCGGTTTTGTAGTTTTGCACCCTTTGGTGTCGTTTTAATAGCCAAAATGATATAATAATATGAGAAAAGGGGCAAATAAGCCCTCAAACTTTTAGTTCAAATACTTGCTCTCATAACAACCTTACCCACTACTTCCTGTCAAATAGGCGACAGATACCCTTCGATGACCTGAAAAGGCTAGGAATAGAACCTCCACCAGAGGGACGATATATGACTCGCTTTCAGGTAAGCATATTCTGAACTACAAACCTCAATAGTAAAAAATATGAAGTATATCATAATTGCTTTACTATTTGTAAAAAGAAGGGCTAAACTTGTTTTCATTTGTTTTTTTTTTTTCAGTAAAAATTAGCTTCAATGGTTTCATCACTTTCATGTTATCTGTTATGGCGGCTGAAATTTGAACATCAATTTTGTAATTTTCATTAAACTTTGTTCATCACCAGTCACCAAAATTTCCTTAATCCCAACTATGTTTGGGGTCAGGGGCATGTAGTTTTGTGTCAACTACTTTTGAAGTATTAAAAGGTGTAGTATTTGAATTTCCCAAGGTAACAGGAACATGAAGAAATAACTTTCTCAGTGGGAAACATACCTTAAATTATGCAGGTTCCATCACCACCTCGAAGAGAAAGGAGCTCCGGAGACAGTGAAGGTTCCCCTCGCAAGTACAACCAAAACAAGCGTTCTCATCATCATCAGCTGGAGATGTCATCTAAAGATGAATGTGATTCCAGTAGGCACAAATATTCCATGGGCAGAGAGGGTGCCTCTGGCAAGAACCTTAAGCGCAGAACAGAAAGATCATGTAGTCCTGACGTTTCATCTGACCGTTCAAGAGATCGGGAAGAACGCTACTCCCTCCAACACCGAAAGCAAAGTAGGCGCAGTAGTAGCCGGCAGTCCTCTCGTCATGACCGTTCATCTGTTGAAAGCTCGATGCACAGGGAAGAACTTCACCATGTACGCAGGTCATTATCATATCAATATGATGATAGGTGGTCTCCTAGCAGGAAGAGGTCACCGGTTGATTAAGAACCACTGCAAATTTACCATTGCAGTTTGTAAAATACTCTGTAGAGGATATTATTACGTTGTGGAGAGGCAGAGTAATTTTAACTTTGGTAAGGCACTCATAAGTCATAAGTCATCAGTCATGGGTATAAATTTCAGTTTATTTACTATGTACTATCCTCTGTTATTTAATTTTTGCAACACTTTATATTAGTAAAAATTATAAAAAGTTGATATTTTGGAAATTCACATTGATAGGAATTCAATATTTTATACGAAATAATTTGATTATGTATATTAGTAGAAAATCATGGTCAAAGTAAGGTTTGTGAATAGTGCAAAAGTCACAATGTTGAAAGAATTAAAGAACGGAGGAAGTATTAGTTTAACATAATTGGGAAAGTCACCGTTTTGTTACTCAAACAGTCATACGTCATTTATTCACTTTTACTTTGAATGCACTTCAGATGCCAAATTGGGAGGGTCACCATTTTGTTTCTCTTGATTTTATCAATTGGCTTTCCACAGATTAATGCTCAAGTGCAATTAAGTATTGATATGAAGTTTTCTACTTCTGCTCTCACATTTGTTAAGCTTATTCTCATTTTCACAACCTTTTATGCTTCCCGCTTTCTAGTTTTGGTACATAATTGTTGAAGTTTTGCAAAAATAACCGGATCGGTCATCGGTGGCTGGACAGATCAAGAGTTCTAGACTGGCAAGTGCAGTAAAAGTTGAAGAAATGACAATAAAATTTTCAAAAGGAAATGATATGATAACCGAGGGTTAATTAATGGTTCTGTACTTGTTCATTTGATGCAAGTTTTTTGTACATAATTATGATCAGTTTTCCATTACATAGTCTCGCACATAGAAGAGACTTGTCTTTGTTTGGGCAGACAAAAGAGACATAGCTTTGCATGATTAAACAAAAAGAGACTTTGCATACAAAGACAACCCACTTTTCAAAGGCATTTGTCTATCAAAATAAACAAATCTTATATGTTGTGTAAACAGCAAAGAACATAGAAAAAAATTGTGTTCATTTGGATTTTCAAGTCTTGAGAAGTGGCTAGTAAATGACGTGAAAGAATGCATATGCGATATGTCTATTAAAATGAAAATCATGCATGTTGTGTAAACAACAAAGCTAAAAAATTCATGATTTTCATTTCAAGTGCATTAACAAATGGATAGTAAATGACGTGAATGAGGCTCTAGTTTTTGTTGTTAAATTTTGCAAACTTGTACCACGAGAGATTAAAGGTGGCTTCAATTCAAGAATCAGTGGGAGATCGAATGAGATCCTTTTAAAATAAAACTGATTTGGTTCCTTTTATTCTTGATAAATGATAAAAGAATTAGAACAAACATAAATTGGCTAAATCGAAATCAATCGCCAATACTGGAACTATATATCTGACTGAGGTTTTAATTTCCTCTATTTTACTACAATATATTTTTAGAAAAACATATTTATATTGTAATTTATTTGTTTCGTGAAAACTTAGCAGTAATATTATATATAGTGTATATATATTATGTAAACTATATATTTCGAGGAAGTGTGCTGACTTTAAATTGCCCATAATTAGATATGAAAATAGTGTCAATGGAGGACAAATAGGAAGGATTAGAGCATTTGATCTAGTGGCAAAAATTTGATAAAATTTGATCTAGGTCTATTTAAAAAAGTGGGTCCAGTATTGATAAAATAGATGGTCAATTACATGAGACCTCCAATGCGGATGAACTAAATCAAATGCAAAGCAAAAGAAAACAAAGAGAAAAGTAAATGTAGACCCACTTTTTTGTGTAAGGAGGTTGCACCGAAGGTCCATATGTGGACCTTGTGCTGGACTGCGTTCCAATTGATTAAATGGCACATCAGCTCAACCTTGTCTATTTTATTTCGCATTGGAATAGACATTTCTCTTCAATGTCTGCATTTGCTGAGGTGGAAACACAATTCACCTCACCATTGGAGATGCCCTTACTACTCTGTACATTTTACTATGAACAAGATAGGTTAAGACCTTTTCACATGTCCATTGATTAAAAACAAACTAAAACATGTCTCAATAAATATTTGAGAAAGAAGTTGTATATTCATACATGGATCCTGTTAGCTAGACAATATTGAAAAAAATATAACAAAAATGCTTAAGGTGCACATTCATTTGGATTTATATAGACAATTAATTTTTTGTTCACTCAGACAATTTAAATTGATCACACCGACAACTAAAGTTGATCACACAGACAACTATTGTCTGGGTTGTCTGTGAGTTGCATGACTATCATCTGTGTAGTAAAAATATTTTCTGTGCACACATACAAATAATTGTCTGTGCAACAAGAAAATATTGTCTGTGCACACAAACACTGCACATATAGATTGATTTGCAAGCTGTTGTCAATGTCATGCGGTTATCAATGTCTTTTTTACACGAAAATTAATGTATGTATACACAGACAACTCCTGTACCAAATGTTTGTAACCGACATTTTGAACTCGTGTACCCCTAGCATTTCTGAAAATGACGTGATACGTTAGTGTGACATATCATGTCTTGACTATTATTGCAATACTACTATATTAGTTTAAAAGGTTCAAAAAAAAAAATCAAATGACTAGCATATTTTGAATTGGATTTGTGATGAGGATATTCTGGAAATTTTATATGTCACTCAAGCTAAGCAGAAGAAGAAAAGTGAGTAAAGGTAATTTGGAAAAATGAAATTAAGAAAACAGGTAGATTTACAAGAAAAGTTGGGTAAAAACCCAAACAGATAGACTTCGATCATCAGAAGATGACAAAAATGAAGAATGAAAATGACAAAAATAGAAAGGAAATCCGTACTCGTCGGCAGCCGGCACACGTGGGGGCGGGTTGGTCAACGTCCGAAAGAGACGAAGCTCAACCCTTTCTACACGGAAGGGCACTGCAGTCCCACTACTCCGTTCCGCTTCTCTTCACGGTCAACCAGACAGCCGTTCGTGTCGCAATTGTAATTCCGACAACCGCCAGTGGCAAATCTGTCCTTCCACCGCGTCCCCCTCCGTCTGAAATCCCGAAGCTTCGTGCCGGTTCTCTTCCGCTTTGGCTGAACAGAGACTCCGTATTGTAATGTGAAATAAAGAAGGTCATGGGACTTTCCTTTAAAGTGGTCGTGGCCTATCAGTCTTACCCTGATTTCTCCATTTGAAATTTAGGTTTTCCGTTCACATACTCTTCGGGCTTTGCCATTCGATTACTTTGGTACGGTGCTGGTTTCTTCAGTTCGATTTAATCAATTCATCTTCTTTATCGCTGTTTTTTACTTGATTATTGTTTTGTATGTTTAGGGGTTGATAAAAGGGGGAATTTCCTTTGTTATAGATTAAAAAAATTAAGTCTTGTTCAAAATTATGTTGCTCCACTTGTTTGCGTTCTTCTATCATGCAAATTTGGAGGATCTGTCTGAGTTTAGGTTATTCTTTGCTGCTCGTGGGGCGCATTAGCTATATTTGCATGGGATGTTCATTAAGCATTTCCATTGGGAATGGCTTTTTTCTACACGCAAATGCACACATCTTTGTTATGATTGCTTTTGTTCAAGTCAAACTGAGTTGCGCCATTGATTGGTGGCAGTGTTTTTTCTAGTGGGGGGCTATCGCCATTCTTTTCCATTCATTAGACTGTTTAGTAGAAAATCAGAATTCCAGGCTAACGTCACCATATTTGTTTGTTCCCTTCTCTTAGAGCCTCTTTGGTAATGGTTATTCTTTGAGAAAAGTCCCTAAACAGAAGTAAAACATAACACATTGTATCAAGTAGGAGTGCAGTTGTTTTCTCCCCAAAACAAGATTTGTTGTTTTACTCTTTTAGTAAGACTAGATAAGTCCTATCTAGGGAATAAAACATAGTTAGTCCTATTTTTTAACCTTATCTATTTTTTACTCCTATTTGGAGCAATTTCTTTTATTCTTTTGATATGGCTGAATTTGCTTTCTCGTAAAAGAAAGGTCTACATTTCAGACAAATAAGTATTCAAAGCTACTTATCTTGCACTTAAAAAAGCTAACTATCTTGCATTCTTGCTTAATATGATTATTATTCTACTAATTCTCAGCGGAATAAAAGCAGAATAAAGAAGGCATAAAGCACTTTTTGCTGCTGAACTGACACTCAGTATGATATTTCCCATTTGCATTTTGTTGTTGCTGCTCGCTCATATTTTTTTTATCACCACTGCTGCCATGGTTCGAAGTGCTTTGTACTTTCTTTTATATTTTCACACAAATGCTCTCTGATTGGATCAGGCCTTTCCTGCATTTCATATTTGTTGTACTATATGTAGACATTTTGCAAGGTATTAGTAAATGGCTTTATTCGTATTTGGTTACTGGCCTAAATGCCCAATCCAACACGCGTTTTCATATTATCTTACTGTCATGCTATCTTTTATGATATTCAACTAAATTTGTGGTAATGGCATTAACAGTTCTTATCTTTTTAGGTTAGTGAGTTATTCCAGTGTCAACAACAATGCGTGCACCTTCTATTCTTGCACAGTGCTTGAGTGGGTTGATATCAGCAGACAAGGGGTCGCACATTTCATTAATATCTGATCGAGATGGCCATCCTTCTTCACCTGCTGTGGAAATTGTTCCTTCAAAAGTGAGTTCCATTTACAAGTTTTTAAAAGTTATAGAACTATAAAAGAATCTTTTTTTGAATGTCTTGATTTGTGCTTGCAAGTTGGTATATAAACTCGTAGGTAATGGATCCTGTAGATAAGTGTGGTTGCACATTTAATTGCATTTTTTTTTGCAGATCGCTCATCCTTATGTATATGCTGGTGAAAATGTAGACCTTCATGGAATCAATATAGTCAAGGTACCGGTAATCCTCTATGGTTTTGATTATTCTCCCGTAGTACGTTTTTAAAATGTTAGTTTATCATTTCAAGATACTCCATCTGTCCCATCTTTCCTTTTCAGTCCATCCCACTAAAATTGTCTCATTCCAAATTTGGTAAAGTTTGTATGGTTCTAAATCATTCTTACTTTATTCTTACTTTATCAATTCAATATCAACCACATAAACCCACTTTTCTTAATAACCGCACCTCCTCCTCATGTCCCAAACTCCCAATGTTAGTGGGACAAAGATAGTACAATTTATGGGAGTGTAATGATCAGTGGTGGGTGTTTTTTAGATGCGAAGCTGAACAATGGCTTAAGGTCGGTGTAAGTTTTTCCTATAGCCCTAGATCATGTTATGAAGCATAATTGGCAAGCTGACTAGCTTTGAGGATTGAGTTTTTCGCTTTAACTTGTTTTTTGACCGGCTCAGCTGTGTACGGTCTGTTTTGGCGGTTTATGTAAAGTACAATAGCAATAACATAACATGAAATATATATAAGGTCTAAGATCTACAAACCCCAACTTAAGGTTAAAAGTACACATGATACATCCATTGAATGATATAAATTCCACAACTTGACATGCCATGTATTAAAAACAACATAAGAGAGGTAGTGGTCTCTTTTAGCTTAATTTATGCAATTGTAATAAAAAAAACTGACCAAAAAATGTCTTTTATAAATATCTTTGGTTACGGGGCATCCAGTGTCTTAAAGGGTTCCAGTTTCTCTTGCACCACCATAATATACATATTTGTCTTACGGGGCATCATGATTTTTTGCCTTATTACTGACGAGGTGCCTCACAATTCACATTGTCAAAGACCTAGTTTTTGCTTTTCTGGCTTATTTAGAGTTCCATATCCTTGACGTTTGTTGTTCTTAGCATATTTGCTATACCGCTGTGCATATATCTCTAATGCAGAACCTGTTAAACGAGTAATCTCTTCATGCCAAATTCTCCTATGTCTCTCTTTTGACTTTGTATCATGTAAAATAAAGTTTGTTCTCCTCTGTAGCCCACAGTGAAGAAGGTGTCATGTAGAAACTGCGTATGATATTAGATATATTTAGGAACAAGAGTAGGGATACTTATATGTGTGTTCTTCACTGTGTGTGTGTCTGTTTCTTGGTCTGTCCACCCTGTCAATTCCTATTCTATTGAAGCTTATGCATGCTGAGTTTTCTTCTATTCGTATAGATTATTGTTATCAAAGTAATGGTAAAAATTGCTAACTTATCCATGCCTATTTTTGTTGTACACTTTATCTGTAGGGTAGAGTAAGTGTTGCTGATATAATTGGCTTTACTGGCACAGAAATGATATGTACAAAACCAGATGGTAGGTACATCACCTTGCATATTCACTTAAGGGACTGCCATTCATTTGTTTAAGGAATTAAGGTTGCTAAGTCTAAAAAATTATGTCATTCTGTAACTAGTTTTGTGTCTTAGTATAAACAGCATCACACTCTCAAATATATGCAGGTTATCTGAAGTCTTGGGCTGGTTCACTTGATCTTGTTAATGTTCTCAAGCATGAGATTAGAGACGGGCAGCTCAGTTTCAGGGGGAAAATGGTGGTTGAGGTACTTATACTCAGTAGATATAATTGGAGATACAGATACTTAGACGCACCATTATAAGATATAAATGGATTGCCTGATACTCTGATAGTACTAGCCAGTTTTATTATTTCATTCTCCATGCATTCATGAAGTCCAAATTGCTTTGCCCCCATGATTGAAAGTTAGGGCTTACTTCCTACTAGAGTGTGGCTTATGCACGGGCTGTTAAGTGTTCAAGACTCTTTGTTTTAGACTTTTTGTTAATTTAAACCCACTTTTCTCTGCTACCATGTTATTTAGTTATACATTGGGCGTGCATGGGAGAAAACTTACCATAAATCAAAGCCGTAATAAGCAAGGAACCTAAGAACCTAAGAAGAGATTGATATCATCATCTAGATGGTTAATCTTTTTTCTTCTTAAAATCCTTAATGAAAATGGTGTTATTATAGTATTATCTAATGATATTATTAATTTGTTAGTATTATACTACCTCTATCTCCGTGGTACAAGAGGAGGTGGTGCGGTTACCAAGAAAAGTGACTTTGTGTGGCTGATATTGAATTGGTTTAGAACCACACAAACCTACCAAATTTGGTATGTGACAATCTTAGTGGGATGGACTAAAAAAGAAAGGTGGGACAATCTTAGCGGGACACAGGAGTATATAAAGTAGGGTCATGTTTCTCACACCCCTTAAGGTTATGTATTAGCATTATTTGGGGAAGCTTATTTTTATTTCAATCGTTTATTCATCAACTAATTAAAGCATAATGGAAAACATTTGTTTTTAACATTCTAACAACAAACACTTCATCATAATAGATCCTTTATAATGAATAAATGGTTTGTCTTGAAAATGACATAGAAATCTAAAATACTAATAGTCTAATATCAACAGGAAACCATCAGTATGAGTCTAGTACAGTAGTACTTCTCAGGACAATAGTGCTGATATATTGATATTTAAAATGTTATGGAGACTCCTTTGCTGATTTGATTTCCTAAACCCTTCCACAAGCCCACATAAGTATAATTTAGATGTAGCGAGTAACTATTTTATACCACTACAGTCACGTTTATAATCCAATTCTGATGGAGCCAACATGTAGTGAGTAACTACTTTGTACTATGTCATTGCCTTACTTCATCTTAGATAATAATCTTACCTTATTTTTTGTTGTTCCTTCAGCTTAGCTGTGGATATGGGCTTCCTGGAATATTTGCGTGTTTGAAGGTAATAATCAACACTTGTACTATGCCGTCTATGCGCCTGAGCTACCGTTATTCTTTGATAGCACAATCTAATGTGAATATGATGCTAAAACCTGGCATCATGTGGCTGAAATCCTATCCAAACTGCACTCCACTTTTACAATGAATTTTATCTCCTTCTGTCCAAATTAAATAGAGACAAAAGTGAGTCATACTTCTAATATTGTGTTAGGTACTACCTCGGCATTCCAAATAAGAGTTTTTTCAAGAACTTTTTGTGCCAAAAATAGTGCAGTTGTAAAGTTCAACTTTCCTTATAAGGCCTCATGGAACAACAGCTGCAACCTGTTTTAAAAGAAAGCTGCTATCTGGTTTAGTCAATACTCTAAACAATCTTAGAAATACGTAGTAAGTTTTAGGTGTATAAGTAACTTTTCATAAACCTGTAAAAGGTTGTAGTTTAATTGAGTTAACTAAAAATAAAAAGTTGTATCTTACACAAACAAGACACTTTCATATTGGTTTCACTAACAATTTCCCATAATTTGTGTTAAACTAAACTTGCAGGGAGCTTCAACAGTGCATTTTCAAGACCGGAATGCCGAGGGAATAAGATGCACCACAATTCCAAATGTTTTGGTGAATCTTGAGGAGGCTAGAGAACGGCAATGCCGTCAACCTGAGATCCCCTTGACTCCTTCAAGGCAGACTATCGCTCCAAGAGTGAACTTCTATGCAGGAGACTGGGAGGAACTTCCAACAGTGTTGTCTGTTGTCAGGAATGATGAGTGTGAGATGCCACCAAGAGGGATGAGCCTTAGTATGTCTGAGGAAGATTTGATGGATGGGTGTAGTAGCCAAGATGGAAGCATCTGCTTAGTCAATGAATCATCTTCCTCCAGACGGTCAAGGAAACTGTCTGGAAGCAGGGCATGGGAGAGAGCTAGTGATGCAGACCAAGGTGGTGGCTACGATGTCATTTTGATGACTGAGATTCCCTATTCGTTGGCCTCCCTGAAGAAGCTATATTTATTGATTAAAAAGGTTGTGTTTCTTTCCCCTTGCTTCTCATTTAGCAGTTTTTCTCCCGTTTTTGTTTCAACATACGTGAAACTTAAATTGTTCACGTGATGGCTTTATTTGTCATCTTTGACCACATAAACTTGTTAACTTTTTCTCTGTCCATCCTAAAGAGGTCATGTTTAAAAAACTCTTCCTGTCTAAAAAGTGTTCACTTTGATCTAGCAAATCATATTTTTCATTCAATTTGCCAAAAGGAGACGCAAGGTACGTATAATAAATCTACTTGAACCAGTGATTCAATTTAAAACATACAAGTGTGATTCATGATTTTATGGCAGTTGTACCTTACCAAAACAAAGAAGTTGTGCGTTAATTAAACATGACTCTTTATTTTGGACGAAAGTGGTATGCCACACTTAACTCGACAAAACTTTAGTGCTCGAGGAGTTTTGGGCAGTTGACTGGTGCTCTAGCCACTGAAGTCTTGTGCATTTAGTATAAATAGTGGGCCAAAAACATATGTGTTGGGGTGTGAGTTAGATCTATGACCTACTAATTATAGATATGACACAACTCCAGAGTATTAAGTTCTCAGTGTTATCTAGAGCAGTGAAGTTTTTCTTACCCATTTGACCAAATAACTTCCCCAAAACTCTTGAGATCAAGGCTTAGATGTTGTTGACCCAAAAACTTGTATGTATAAATTGTGGATTGACACCTTGCCAACTACAAATAGTGAACCATGCCTTTCCACTGTACAACTTTAACCTGTATTTTAAAAGTTATTTGTCAGTTTAATTTAATCTATCATATTGTTTATAATTTTTTGGGGGCAAATTTTGAATTAAGTTTCGGCTGCTAAAATATGACCTGTTGAATACATATCTATTGGACTTGTTGAAAACATATCTGGGCATATAGCCTGTTTGAAATAGCCATATATCTCAACAATTCTACACCTGTTTATTTAGCAGTGACCCTTTCTCTTAATGTCTTCTTTCAAACAATGTAGTGCTTAAAGCCTCCTTATGGAGTGATATACCTGGCAACAAAGAGAAACTATGTTGGATTCCACAGTGCTGCTCGGAACCTGCGAAGTCTTGCTGACGAGGAAGGGATTTTTGGTGCTCATTTGGTGACGGAGCTTACAGATAGAGAGATATGGAAGTTCTTTTTCAAATAAAAAGAAATGAACTCACGGCTCTGATCACTCACCACAGGTTCTATACATTCATTCAACAGTGTTGTTTCATGGAGTACTGCAATACCCTATTCGTATACCACCATTATCTTTTCTGTTCTTGTTACAATAGGCAGTCCTGTAGGAATTTTAAAATCCATAATGATCTCCAGTTATTATTGTTAACATGAAGAGAACGGAACACTTAACTGCCTTTATAATCTTGTAAACCTCATGTAAACTTGGAACTGTAAATTATTAGTTGTGTGATAAATAGTTCTTCGTTTGAGCTTGTCTGAGATTTACTATTGCTCTATATCCTTTCTGAGGAGGAATTGGAGGAAAAGTGGGTAGGGTTCTTCAAAATTTTAGATTTCTCTGCATGTATTGGACTAGGGATGGATTCGGGCCGGGTCGGGCCCGGGCCAGGCCTAGGCCCGGTCGGGCCGCCGGTTCAAGAAAAGTGGGCCCGGGACCGGCCCGAGGGTTGGACGGGTCCGGTTCGGGCCGGGCCACCCGCCCGGGTCACGGGTCGGGTCCGGTTTGGGCCGGGCCGGTTAATTTTTTTTATAATTTATATTTTATAGTTTATAGTTTTATACGAGTATTAAAAACAAACTTCAATTGCATTTATTTGAAATGAAATAGGAACTACATTTGAAAATTAAAACAAACTTTAAGAGAAACATTTTGAAAATTGTAATCAATCGGAACTTCCCGCACCTCCCGATCCTTTGGCTTTGTCACATGACTTCATATGCTTGATTGCCATCCCGAATCCGCCTGAAGCCCCCATGTTACATTTTTTCTCGCACCATTTGCAAATTGCGTACCACATCCCGATCTTCGGGTCCTTCTGCTTATCAAAATTATACCGTATAATGGCATCTTGATTTTCCATCTTAACTTCTTAAGTATAAACTATAAAGTAGATATATAAATAATAAATATAATATATTGGAGAATAAGAGAATTAGAGAGTAGAGAGTTAAGAATAGGATTTAGGAAGAAATGGAGAAGAGATATGAAAAAATGTTTAAGATTAAGAGTATTTATAGATTTTTTTACCCCCCCACCCCCCACCAGCCAACCCCCCCCGGACCCCCCCCCCCCCTTTACCCCACCCAACGGCTATATAGCCGTTTGGGTTGTCCCCAGCCCCACCCCCAAGGCCCCAACGGGTAGTAGCCAAACCAAACAAAAAAAGTTTTTTTTTTTTAAAATAGACCCGGGCCCGGGCCCGACCCGGCCGGGCCGGGTCACAAAAATCCAGAACCGAGCCCGCCCCCGCCCCTTCCCATCGGTTCGGGTCCATACCCGGTCCCGGACCGCCCGACCGGGCCGGTCCCGGGCCCGCCCGACCGGGCCGGTCCCGGGCCCGCACAGTACCGGGCCGGGCCGGGTGGCCCGAACTGAATCCATCCCTATATTGGACTGCTTTTAGACTATACCAGTAGGTCCAGTATGAGCAATAATTCCTTGATTGCAATTGGTGATATGATTGCATCCATAAAAAGGGGAAAAGTGAAAATTATCAAAACTACATTACGGTAAACAAGCTATACAAAATGTCTAAGATTACATAAGATATGAACCTTGTAAAGGCAACTAAACACTCATACGGTCATACCATCATAAAAAAACCATATTAGTGGAATATGCAAATCGTGCATGGGCTTGAATTTATCATTGGCAAGACATTCTACAAGATTAAAATGAAGCAAAGTGATGAAATGCTTCCATACTTCTAAAAGCAATAGATACAAGTCATACAACATACAACTGTACAAGACTACAAGAGCGAAGTTTAGAATACCGATATTAAGCCCACATGCTTCTGCATTGACTTTTTATACGAAACTTCACCATCCACCCATTTTGTCCTTGTCACTGTAACGATCAACAAGGGGCAAATCGATCGATTGGTTCAATCTGAAGATCAACAATCAACAAGGGCTTATCGCTTGATTGGTTCAATTTGAAGATGTCATTGAAGACGGAGACAACCGGGAGGGTTCGGAATGGGAGACAACGACAACCCCTACTTGTGAAAGGCTAACACATAACCTTCCATCTAGCACGAAGTGTGCATACACTCTTCCATTCTACATGCCTCAATCATCATACTAAACTACTGCAAAACCAACGGGACCACCAAATGATATCAATAAAAATATCCAAATGGTAACGGAACCAAAACCCTCTACACAATTGTGCCACCATATCAAGAGAGATCTCTAAACGAAATTTAAAGTACTGTATTCAATGGGTTTTCTTTGGCGTAATTATCTGGTAACAAAGAGATCATTATATATTGAAATGCTATGATAGGTACAATGTGATATGAAAACATATTGCTAGGTGATTTGCATTTCTTTGTGAGGTTTAATGATATGTGTTGTAGGATATTATTGTGATCTAGGGATGGTCCGGATGGACTTGGGCCGGGTCAACCGGCCCGTAACCGGCCTGACCCGGTACTGTTTCGGCCCGGTACCCGGGTCCATGTCTGGTTCGGGCCAACCGGCCCGGTACTGTTTCGGGACGGGCTCTGGGTCTCAAAAAAATGAACCGGCCATGCTGGGTTCGGGCCATTTTTTTTTTTCAATTTTTTTGGGAGATAAATGAGTTGGGCTAGGTGTTTTGGAGGGATGTGGGGGGTAGGAAGTAATTAGTAATGAGGGAGAGGGAATAGTCATGGAGTGGGACAACATTTTTTTTTTTTGTGAAATAGTGGCACAACATTTTCATGTCGTGACTCGTGAGGGAGCCTGTATAGACTTTTCACGTTGAAAAATATTGGCTCTCATAATTCTAGCAATTGTTATTTGTTATTAATGAAATAAAACTAACCCTACAAATTAAAGTTTAATTTATAACCCTTTAATTTATAATTTAATTATACTCCGTACATTTATAAGAATGATTGAATAATTGAATATATAGGCATAATAGTTTGATGCTTAAAGGTTTAACATAATATGCCACGACTTTGATGAAATCTATAAATGTGTTTATGTTCTTATTGCTATTGAATACACTCAACATTTAGGATTGTTAAAATTTATCAAGTATAATTGAATAACTCTAGACCTAAATTCACCTCTAGCAAAAATAATTGACATGCATATTACTAACAGAGTTTGTCTGAACAAAAATATAACTAATCATTATGAACAAGTAATTGAATAAAAGTCATATATTGTATTTCATATTGACTAGTCACTCAGAATTAGTCACTGAATATGTCACTTTTTGAATTTTTTTAAAACAAATCATATTTTTGTTTTTTGAATTTGATTTAGTACCATAATATTCATAGAAAAAAACATTTATATTTGTGTGCACTTATGTTTAATTTTTTAGAAATTATGTGAGGGACATTCAATCTTTTTCCATTTTTTTGTTTCCATATATATATTTACCACACCAAATGACAACTTGTGAAACAAGAAGTTTTCCAATAGAGGGAGTATTGTTTTTAGAAAACTTGAATATCATTTTTATGTTCTCAATAATGAACAATAATTTTCCATAGCAAACCATGACCTAATAAGGCAACTATGACAAGTTAGCATGCACCAGGGGTGGAGCCAAGGGAGGGGGGTCAGGGTAGTCAGCCGACCCCGCTGAAAGTTCACGAATGTAGAGCTCTGAAATACATTCGATTTGATATATTATGAGTCCTGTAATTCATTACGAGTAAAAAGTTATGACTTCTGAAAAAATCAGCACCATCTTAACTTGAAATAAACAAAATTTGATGCGTGACGTTGATTATATTCTTAAATTTAAAAATAAAACAACTTATTCAGTCATTAGTTGTGTGAACATTATGATACATTACCTATATATCAACACATTAACCGAAAAATTCTCATTAAACTATCATTTATCTCAGCTACATATATAACATTTAACTCAACTATTGTATACGGAGTAAAAATTATCCATCATTTTGATAGTGTATATAATTAAATTTCGACCTCTTCATACATTTTGATAGTGCATGCACGTCCTCCTTTATGGATGTTGTCTACAACAATGACTAGTCTTTTAGCGACCTCACCCACTCTAACCTGCCATCATGTCCCCAATTAACAACAGTACATACAATTTCTATGAATATCGTCATCCGTCGTTACTAACATTAAATATGAATATAACTTGTTCACCCACTTTATATGACTATCAACACCATTGATCATTGTTGTCTGTACCTCTTTTGTAATACTCAAATTGGCTGAATTGACTAGTTCTACTAAAAATGATAAATTTTAGTTGAAGTGACCGAGTCTGTTGAACTATGAAAAAATCATATTTAAAATATACTACATATTTTATTGATAAAATAAAGACAATTTATATCAAAATAACAAAAAATGATACTCTACAGTAACTTCAACCAAATCACCCAGCAAAGTAACTTCAAAGTTCAAATTTACTTATTTTGTTTATTACAAAATTGAGTGCACAAAATAACAAATTGTGTATTTGGTGAAAAAATTGGATGATAAGGCTGATAAACCGAAAACATGGGTCACCAAACGTAGGCCCGGCCGTGACATTTTATGAGTTGACCGGGACAATACAAATAAAATCGGCCTTATGGACAATGTGTGAATGTTTATAATTTACTTGTAAAAAAAAACTATACGTAAAATTAAGTAGTACAATTGTTACTTGGAATATACAATTTTGAATTAGTGAAAGACGTGCAAGAGTAACATTTTTATATTTCAAATAACATTTTCACTAGATAAAAACAAAATACAAGTTTCTAAATTCTAAATATTATAATTCAATTTTCACTTACGTAAGAGGATCACAAGAAATTAGCAAAATACATTCAATGAATCATGAGATTACATGACAGAAGTAAATGAAAAGATTAACATTTATGTGTTAAACTCTTAATGAATCCTAAGAAATGATGAAGTTTTTCTCAAGGAATTCTGATGTGGACGTTTCAAAAATTTAGACGTGTAGCTTGTAGATCGATGTTGTTGATTAAGGAATTGAAAATATCAAAAAAAAAATTAAGTTTGATTTTTATTAGATTTTATAAATTATAATATATATATGTGTGTGTGTGTGTAGAGTATATAATTGACAAATTTATGCGTCCTAGGGGAGCAATGGACTCCAGATGCATACCCTTTGTCCATGCCACAGAACCGGCCGTGATCAAACAGGCTCTAAGGTGTGACAAATGTTGATTTTTTTATATAAAGTACTCATCAATTCATCATATAAAAATGTCAATTTTACATACAAGAAAACTAAGACTCCATTGCTATA